TTTATTTATTTATTTGACAGAGAGAAAGCGAGAGCAGGAACACAAGCGGGGGAGTGGGAGAGGGAGAAGCAGGCTCCCTGCCAAGCAGGGACCCGATGTGGGCCTCAAACCGAGGACCCTGGTACCATGACCTGAGGCCAAAGGCAAACGCTTCACCAACTGAGCCACCCAGGTGCCCTCTTTGTTATTATTTAAAGGCAAGTAGTGGGGCGCCTGGATGGCTCAGTCGTTAAGCGTTTGCCTTCGGCTCAGGTCGTGATCCCGGGGCCCTGGGATCGAGCCCCGCATCGGGCTCCCTGCTCAGCAGGAAGCCTGCTTCGCCCTCCCCCACTCCCCCTGCTTGTGCTCCCTCTCTCTGACAAATAAATAAAATTAAAAATACATATATACATGCACATGTGTAAGTAGGTGTATCCGTGTGTATATACAGGTTTGTGTGCACATACACCTACACCTGATATTAGAATCTAACAGCCATTCTCTACTAGCCTAAGAGTTACCTATCAAATCAAACTATGCCAATCACCAAGGATACAAGTGCACTATCTTAACCTAGACACTGATATATATACCAAGCGTATATTCAAAATGGCGTTCTTTAAAGAAATGTTATGCTAGCATCTAGAAAATCTCACAGTGCTGCTGACTTACCACTTCTTTTAGGAAGAGCATAATTTGGAATAAAATGGGTTCACATCCAGCGCCTGCCACTTACAGGTTTATTACTTTGAGCATGTCACTCACACTGATCTTCAAACTGGAAAAAATCAATTCCTGGCCAGCCTAACTTCCAGCTCTGTCACAAGCTTGTTACCTCTGGCTCCAGGGAGCCTGAACTTTTACTGAACAAATTAGGGTATAAAAAAACAGATGTAGGGCACCTGGGTGGCTCAGTCGTTATGCGTCTGCCTTCGGCTCAGGTCATGATCCCAGGGTCCTGGGATCGAGCCCGGGATCGGACTCCCTGCTCCGCGGGAAGCCTGCTTCTCCCTCTCCCACTCCCCCCGCTTGTGTTCCTGCTCTCGCTGTGTCTCTCTCCGTCAAATAAATAAATAAAATCTTTAAAAAAAAAAAAAACAGATGTAGAACGTACAACATAAGAGTGAACCCTAGCGTAAACTATGGACTTCAGTTAATAATGATTTGTCAATGTAGATTCATTAATTGTAACAAGTGTACAACCCCATGGGGGCTGTTGACAACGCAGAGGCTATGCATATGTGGGGGCAGGAGATGGCTCTGTACCTTCCTCTCAGTTTTGCTGTGAACCTAAAACTGCTCTAAAATAATAGTCTACTTTAAAAATATAAA